CATGAATTTTAAAATAATTAACCTAAATGCATTTTGCCTATAATATCATAAACAAAAACGTGCATTTATCACATTAACATTTTCAAAGTTCCGTCGTAGATATGAATATATGCACATATATTAACTCTTGAACGTACCAGCAAATATATATATATATGCAGATTCACATAAAAATCAACTATGATACATGTATATTTTAGTTTCATTAAAAACAGTAGTAGTCGTAAATATGGTTATAATATACGTGAAACTAAAAGTCGAACCTGAAGGAGAGCTGAGAGAGAAGAGCAGAATCGTTAGTGTTAAACAGCAAATACTCGATCTCACCAGAGTCACCATTGAGACCGATGTCTTTAAACCCATACCCGAAATTAGGCTGGATAGCCGATTTAACCGAAATCTTCTCATGAACCGGTTTAGCAAAGAAGTTAATGGATTCATGGTCCAACCTTGAGATGATGGTTTGGTCAACACCGTGGTTAACCACTTTGAAGAAGCCGAGAGTCTCACAAGCTTTGACTATCTGCTTCGACACTTGTGATCTCTCTTGCGACATGTCTATTATTGGTATGTCTTGATCTACGGCCACGTTTTGTTGGGACCCCTTAACCATTTTTAGAGAGAGGAGAGGGATTATATGAGAGAACGATGTACGTAACGTAGAGTTTTTATGAGATTGTATGAGTTAAGTTTATGTAATGTGTGGATATATTTATAGAACACAAAAGAGATTCATACAAGAGAGAGAATAATATTGACGACCAAAATTGGTCATCACGTGCATGTATAAGGCACCAAAGGGTAAATACCATTTTTGGTGGAATCTTGAAATATATAAGGTGGATAAGGATAACTAAAGATAAAGGGAAATGCTAATGCTTTGTTACGACTGACACATCGTTCATACTTGTTATAACATGATTAGATTTTCTCACGCAAATGAATTTATCAGAATTATACTTAATTTAGCTTTTTTGACAGTTTTTCTTAACTAATAGTGTTAATGCTTTCTTCTTTTCTTTCACAAACGATTCTTTTCTTACACAAACCATCTGCTCTGCCAATGGTTTTTTAGCTAATACTACTTTACATAATAAGATTACCAATCGCAAAATTACCAATTAATGGTCATTTCCCACACCTTTTTCTTTGAATATTTGTAGGAGTGTTTTACACTATCTCCAAATATTCGTTGTAAACCTCTTTTTAATTTATTAATTTGTATTTTTGGGGATATTCAGCTTATCGAAGACTTGCATGTATGCTAAAGTTTTACTAGCAAGTTCCCAATTTACAAAAGAAGTTGACGTC